TTACTACTCCTACTACTCCTACTACTACTACTACCACCACCACCGCGACTTCTTCTTCTTCTACTACTACTGCTACTACTGCTACTACTGCTACTTCTGCTACTACTGCTACTACTGCTACTGCTGTTACTGCTACCACTACTGCTGCTACCACTGCTACTTCTAGACTGCTTTGCAAACTGCCGGCAGAAGCAGAGTCAGCGAAATCCTCACCAAGCCGTCACTTATCGGGCCGCCTCCTCGCGGAGCGCTGTGTGGATGTTCCGCGTCATAGATCGCTTGTAGAAGTACATGAAGCCTGGGCCGATGTTTTGCGGACTAGGGCTGCTACCACAGCAGAAAACCTGTGCCAAGAAAGACACTCCAATGCCTTCAGCTGGTGGTCTAGGATGCTCCTCCAGGAAGGTAGGTTGTCTGAGGTGTAGGCCGACGGCCACCAGAGCAAGAACGATAAACACCTGCATCTGAATCACGCCAAGCTTTCAGAAGACTCTTGTGTTCGCCCGGGCCTCCATCACTTGCGAGTTAGACACGCCGCTCGCCGCGGGCATTGGCCTGACAGGGTCGGCATGCCCTGTGTCCAGGTCTGTTGAGCATATTGTTGGCTCATACGCATGCGAAGGCCCCATTGGTCAAAAAGACCAGACTCACCGTAACTTCACCTGCCAAAACCCCCTGCCGCCACGTCGGCCTTGTCTACTGCAGGGGAAATTGGTCCCAACCATACTTGTGTTTGTGCGTGCTGACAGTCAGAGCAGGAGCATGGCCGTCGTGCGTCGTGAGGCCGATGGAAGATTCCCAAACTCGATCGACAAAAAACGGAGAATCCTTTGCAACCGCCCGCTGTCAAAGGCTCGTAAGACCCGAAAAGACTTGCTTCAGCTCCAAGGTGCACAACTCCGTCGAGGTTGAAGGGGTTTGCTGGCCTGAGGCGAGCAACAGAAAAGTGTCGAACTCGGCTCTGGCAGTGATGGCTGGGACACATTGGTGTGGCCGTGCACCCCAGCATGCTCAGGGGCTTTAGTTCGTCCTATGTTTTACATGGTTGTGGTTCGTTCCTTCATCCCAGAATGACCTTCTTCGCGCAAAAAGTACTTTCGCCGCACCATCGCGGAACTTTCGCGGAAGCATATGTACATTCCTTTGCAGGTTGTGAGCCCCAACTGAAGAATAACTTTTCGCTTAGTGGCCTGCTAAACCCCGCTGAGCGGCTTCTTGAAACTCGTGGTCTGCCACTACAGGTTTCTTAATTAACATGTGTACGTCTTAACATAATAGGGGCTTGTGCAAAGCTTCCTACGCGTTTCAGGGCTGCGTGAGGCCACCATAGTTGGAAAGGGCTGATGAAGAGAATTGGAGTTTAACGAAGCCCACTGAAGGCCTAGATTCTTGAGCTTTGTACAACGAGCCCTGGCCTAGATCTGACTACGTCCACGTTAATGAAACTTGCGCGGGACTTACGCGCTAGATCCTGTATGGCTGTATGGGAACCTAATTTTGGCAACTGGCTTTAGCACTAGCAGTTGCGCTAGCAGGAGCAAGAGCATGAAAAGTGGTAGTAGTAGTAGTAGTAGTAGTCGTAGTCGTAGTCGTAGTCGTAGTCGTAGTCGTAGTCGTAGTCGTCGTCGCAGCAGCAGCAGCAGCAGCAGCAGCAGCAGCAATAGCAATAGTACAGTAAAAGTAATAGTCACAGTGATAGTAGTAGTACTAGCAATACGTAGTAGCAACAGTCATGCTAGAATAGTATTACTAATCGTAATAGTCGTTCTACGGTACGTCGGACAAAGAGATAGCTTCAGCGTTAAAAAAACCTTGTTTTCGCGGCACCATCGTGGAACTTGCCCCAAGGCATGTTTGGCTATGGAGTTGGCCTTTCGCCTCGTGGACACACAATGGCCTTGCCCCACTGACACACCCGGTTTTTCAAACACAAGTACATGTCTCAGTCCTTGCGAGAGAGACTCGTACGGCGAGCGGCTGACGATGAACATGATATGAAAATGACGAAGCTGCCGAATGAGAACCCATGCAGGCAGGCATTCGGATTGCATGTTGCTGTCTTCGCCCTCGTGATCGAGTAGGATGTGAAATGTTGACATTTGTGCTTTGCCGGCTCTCAAAATGCCACAAGCGTTTGTCAAGACTCAGAATCAGAAGCCCTTGTGTCTCGGAAGCGCCTGCTGTCTGTCTGGCTCACGCAAGACTGGAAGATGAGCCGAAGACAAGCAGAGAGATCTTGCTTTAAGCAGTAGCTCAGGACGGCTACCGACAAACAGAACGAGCGAAGCGTCGAACAAGAAAGGAAACTTGACTCGCTAGCATTTTGAAGGGGGATTTGCGGCGCTCGTTGGCAGACGCTGGAACTGCGCTGTAATCAGCCAGTGTTCACACAACATGTGTTGCTCACAGCTGTCGGACAGACTAGGCCTATATATGCTTCAGCCCAAATCGTAAAGTGCAGACGAGCTGCGTCGTCAGTCTCGTGCACGGCTCGGGAGTCCTGGCTCAGACTTCCTCCATGTTTCATGGTGGTTGGGCTTCTCGGTGTTCGATGCCGTGCATCGAACAGGAAACGCCGCGAGATGCAAGTGTCAACGAGGCAAGACCGCTCAGCAGACTTTCTGGACCTCCAGGCCACAATTGTTTTACAAGAACGCAAACCTGCCGGCAAGACGAGACAAATCCGGCACAAATCGCCTTCGTGACCAAATCGGCATCCATCGTGCCACTGTACCTGCACACGACCAAAAATGACAAAGCGAAGCCGCGCGCGCCTCGTCACAATTCTCCGAAAGTCAAAGCAAGCGTACACTGTACACCTATGTAGCGAATGTAACGCGACATTCAGACGGGTAGGACCACACGTCTCTGTGCATGAAACATCGAAGACACCGGCACACAGTAGACGGCCTCCAACCATTGATGCGCAAGGCGTCGGAAGACCACCTGAATGCATAAAACCTTTTCCAGCAGCTCGGACTCTAAATTTAGCGGGTCAAGTCAGCGGTGACACGAAAGATGTGCAGACAAGACCGGGCTCTTTTCGCGATTTCAAGCATTCCCTTAGCTTGCTTTGTGTGTCGTGTCACGCAATGTCAACTTAGGGACCTAGATGGCTTGTCTCCGACATGCCACGTGATGCTGCACTAGATGGCTGGAAGCTAATTGAAAGACGACTTGATTTCTGTGTTCGATACGAGGGTCAGCACATGTCCACATCACACAGCGTTCAGGCATATTTCATCGGGAAGTCGTTCGAAGTCGTTGGGCTTCTGCTCTGCGCGCAAAGATTGCTCTACAGGATCACTCAGCCTTCCGTTAAGGTGCCGACGCGCTGTTCTCCCGTTGATACGCCAGCTTGTCTTCCTGCAAAGCCCTTACAATAGCGGGCGCATCCTCTTCAAAACAGGCTTCTAACACCATTGGGAGGGGTCGCTCTCGGCCTTCGTGTTCCTTATGCACTCCTCGACCTTTTCCACATCGAGCCCAACCTTCGGCAAACACTTCGCTTTCTCAGGGCAGCGACAAGATTTTTAGGCAGTCGGCTTGGGCAACACAGTCATTATTACTGGCGCTACAGCAGGCTGACATCTGTGGCTTCAGAAAACGGATGATTTGGTGTGATTTGTGTAGTAGGGGCATAATGCGGCATTATACTAAACCCAGCAGGACAGCAGAATTCCTTTGAACGCTAAGCGCTATGGCGTCTTTTTCTTCATTTCTGGTCCGCAGTTCGAAATAAAAGCACAGCGACAAATACCCGGAATTAAGGTCCACAAGCCTGGTGCATCAAGCGCTCCGAGCACTTCTCGCCAAAAGTGTGGAGAGGGTCGTCGCTGCCGGTTGCTGGGCACCTGATGATGTAAGGACTTCTGTCTGTGAGTCTGCCAGCTGCCAGCTTCGGCCCTTGATGCAACAACACGTCTGTGACACCCCGTGACGACAAGCACTGAATCGAGGTCTAGCCAAGAAAGCTGAGGCAAGCGGAAAGCACAATCCCGAAGGCATCTGGGCGCCCAAGCTCGTCCAAATATTTGGACACATAATCCCACCACCTTGGATGCCATCCGAGTTGAGATACGAGATTCTACCAGATGCCCTACACAACGCTTGGGAGATGCACTCCATGATGTCTTCATGCGTCCAGTGATTGCCAACACGGAGGTCAAACCCTTGTAGAGGCCTTTCCAGGGTCTAGCCCGGTGCCTGCATTCTGCGGCCAGTCTGGTTGGCAGCTCGTTCTGACAAAGTCTACTCGGAGGGTGCTGGATGCCATAATATGCCAACAACGGCAACATGCCGAACTACAGCGCGTCCAAACGACAACCGAGGGCTTCTCTACACGCCCGCCGTGCATCCCCTCCGAGGAAGCGGCTCGGTGGAGAATTTCGCCTGTCTCATGTGCCACTTCTGTGCTATCCTGGCAGCTTTGACGGAAGCGGAGTAGCGAAGGGACCCGAAGAGTGAAGTTGAAAAAACCCGTGCCTCTCTCCGGTCGGAACCACTGTGATCTCGTGGATGCACAGCTGTCGGACGGCCTGCATGTCGGCAACAGAGGCTGCGCTATCCCACATCTCAGACAGATGCCTCGTGCAGGACCTGTTTGCCAGTGATCTCACCACCTCCATCTGGATCCTAGGTTTCAAGTCGTCAGGAGGCCCCTACTACTGGAAGTTCTTGCTCCGAGAGCGCGCTGAAGCCACAACCAAAAACAAAGCCCTGGCAACGACAAACAAGCCTTCAAACCCCTACGGAAAAACAAAACTTTGACAACGACAAACAACCTGGAAACCCAACAAGCAACAGCTTCCCCAGCAATGTTAGTCTGTTATTTGTTGCAGATCTTCGTTGTTTGTTGTTGCTTGAACTCTCCCTTTCTCCATTCAGAGACTGAGCAGTGGACGTCAGCACAATACTTTCCAGTCGAATCGCTGCAAAGATCTTTGTAGTCCTGGCCACTCAAGGTTGGCAGAATGTGAGGTGCAGCACTCGGTGCCTCGGAACAGTTCCGGGTATCGCACTCCGAGGTTGGTGGACTGGCCGATTGTACAGTAATGCCCACGAAATCCCAAGTTCGAAGACGAGCGAAGTCACTCAGACTTCTGCGCCCAAAGATGCAAAAACAGCCTCTTAGCCGTCCTTCCCCTCGAGGCTGAAGACGTGATAGTGAGGAACAAATTGCAGGTACTCGTTCAGCGCCTCCGATTCGGCTGGAAGGGAGCAGGGACTGCATAGGCAGTTCTGACTGAGTGTATCGACAAGAACTGCTCTACGATTTCTGCGTGTTCAAGGGCACGGACATACCCACTCGACTGACTGTACTGGGTGCCCGGCTGCTCGCTTCGGAGCAAACTCCTGCTCGAATCGAGGACCGTGATAATCAATGAGACTCGAAGGGGAAGGCAGCCAAAAGATGTCAGAGCAGCAAGAGGGCAGTTGTGCGCAGCTCTGCCACAGAAAACAGACTTAGGTACAGGTCTGGCTGTGGAGCTGCATCGTGAATAGCAGCGAGCAATAGACGACGCAAGTTCCATGCCGTGAACGCGGAGTCTCTCTTGTGAAACTTCACGACAAACCGACTGTGTGGCTGCACTCAAGGGACACGGTCCTGACAAGGTGACACAGTGGATCAAAGCAGCACCGGCCTTGAGAAACTTGTGGCTCGCCGCACTGGCGGTGTTCAGCCACTGGTCCTTGCCGCCACGCTACGTGAGGCCGCCAGTTGTAGCACTGTTGAGATTCCAGCTCGGGGTTTCTTGGGAGAGAAGGGCATACGGCATACACTGAAGAAGGTTCTCAAAGTCGACATGCTGGGCAAGGCCGGTCACTTGCGATTGCATCTGACTTTTGGCGGGCTAGGCTGATGGGAGCCAGCTGATGAACGTCTGGTGATCTGTGAAGCCCTGGAAGATTTGAAAGAAATTCCTAGTTTGGATCCCTCCCCCCCCGTTGTCCGACCCTTTGACAATTCGTGCTGCGGGCCTGAGGTCAGTGAGCCCTGAGACCCCAGCCACGAGCACCACATTCTGCGATGGGATGTCCCAGGACAGCTCAACGACCACCTCGCTGGGACGGCGGCCATCTCCAAGATTGAGTTTGCTGGATGCTCAGGCATCTGTGCAACATTTTACGGCTCTCTGCACACTAAGTCCGCTGTACCAAGTGCCAACCTGTGCAAGGTGCGAGACTCCAAATGCTGCGGTGCACAGATCGGTGTCTAGATTTTATAGATCCACCCAAGTTCGAAGGCAGCAAGAGCGGAGTCCCTGCAAAGGTGGCGCTGCGCATCTGTACAACTGAGATTGGAAAAGAAGAACCGGCAACGGAGCCCCTCAATGCGTCCCCCATGTCCCCAAGTCCTGCAACAAAAAGGTGCAACGGGCATGGGCTTGAGTCTGATTTTGTTCCACCAGGAACCTACTTTACTTAATCGTCGAACCTTACCGCCCCTCCCCGATCCCCCCGCTCGAAAATGTCGTTAACTTGACGTCTGATGCTTTTTTCGTCCCTAAGGTCATCTTTTTCAAAAACAGACATTCGTCTCAGCTTCAGAGAGACCTAAAGCAGTTGTTCTTGTCCGTACCTGTCTCGTCAGGATCTCCTCGCGATCCGAGAGTCATTGGAGAGGAAAGCAGAGAGAAGGGAACCGGGGCTCCTCCATGCCAACTTCAGTCTTGCGAAGCCTCCTGCCCAGGAGAGTGGGGCGATCACCGCTGAGACGTAAGACTTTGAGGATGGATCCCACGGCGGGCAGTGGCTCTTGCGCCGAAGCCGGAAGAATGCGAGCAGCTGGCTGTGTTGGGCCGTCGGGGCCTCCTCCTCATCTTCCTCCACGTCGCCAGACGGGTTGCGCGCGCTGGCCTCGAAGCAGAAAAAGGCATCAGATCATCAGCAAAGTCCGAGTCCCACACACAGAAGACACCTGCACGGTGCTAGTGATCACATGCACTGGGTCGCCGCGAGCTAGGTGCAACATTATGCCCGTGTGATTCCCAAACCGGACTAGTACAGCGCGATGCTCCTGTGATGGCCATGCGCCACAGCCATTTCTTATGTGTAAGAAGGTACTTCCTCTAAAGAGGAGAGGCAGGGGCGAGGTATGAACACATCCCTCTGAGTGCCCCTCTGCGCCACGTCCAGAGCCACGACCATACCTCCCATCACAGTAACGTTTTCTCGTGAAGAGACGCATAGATCCATGAGAATGAACGACCAGCTTTCGGCCGGACCTCACTAGTGCAAGGCAGTCGTCCCCACTGTGAGACAGCATTTCAGACAGGACAGCAGCGAGAAAACGAGAAACAGAATAGGCTCAGGCTGCAAGGCTGCAACCGGCTGAAGGCGCCACATTGATAGGTTTACGCTTTAGGCTTTATTGCAAGCAGACATCAGGGAAGCAGTCTTCCAAGATTCCAAGACGTGATACGAAGCGAAGCATGCAAGCAGGTATGCAAGCATGTAAACACCGGTAGTATGCCCGTTATATGCAGCTGCACGGATGTCACTGAAGAGCTTTGCTGGCATGGCCTGGCTCGGTGCTTCGCTCGCTGCTGGCCAACCCTGCACAGATGCGCATGAACCGAGACATGTCTCCGGCTTGAGCAACGACATTCATACACGAAATTGTTGTATGTTCCGGTGACTAGTGCTAATCGCAGGTGATTCTGGTGACGATGATGACAAAGCAGCCGCCATGACAGCCATGAGGTTTTACGAGAGTCAATGTGCTTCCTTGATGAGAGCCCTGAGCGCCTGAGAGGTTCTCTTTTGCCCGGGCATGGTCCCCAGCCTGTGACGGAAGTCGTAGTCGGTTAAGAACTCGTCCACCTCTTCGTCTTCCACCTTCTCATCCGTGGCGCCCTGCGGCTTCGACAGGGATGTGCTCCCGAGCATCGACTGTCCCTCCTCGCAGCTTCCCACGTAATGGCATGCCATTCGCACTTGGACTTGTCGATTGAAAGACAGACTGGGCATTAGGATTCAGCTGCACGTGCGCTACCTTACCGTCCGACCGTCTATGTCTGTATGCCAAAATCGGTCTTAGTACTTGTACCAACCAACCCAACGATGTGGCAAAATGCCGCGATTTTTTCCGCTGGCAGACAGACCTCTCGCTTGAGCCACCCGGTTCCCAACATCAGCCGTCCGATGATTTGCTCCTTTTTTGAGTCAGGTGGCTTTCTTCGGAGCGACATCAGACATCAGACGGCTAATGTTGAGGATGCACCGCTACCTTCTTAAGAGCTGAAACATGCTAAAAGAGTTAAAGAAGTTCAGAGACGGCTCTTGAAAGCCGGCAGATTGCTGGGAAACAAAACGTCGTCGGCCAAGGCATCCGTTGGGAGAGGAGGCACCTCCTCGTCTTCCAGATAAAGCCTCGGACGTTTTGTTGAAGAGGGCTCAGCCGGTGGAAAATTCTGAGCCCGAACCACCCCTAAAAAAAAACTTGCATAGCCCGGCTGCTGCTTGTTTTCGTAGCCGGGAACAATCGCCTCGCATCCCCAGTGCAAAACCCCAAAAGTCCATGAGAGTTCAATGAGTCCTAGCCTTGTGCTTTTCGAAGATTCGGAGCAGCTCTTGGACAAACCTTGGAACAGCAACATGCCCGGAAAAAAAAAGCGCTCCGTGTTGGCTCTCTTCAAGGTCGGTTCCACCGGTGTATGGTACGAGTACACTAGGCTAGTAGTGCCCACACATCAAGCCGATGCAATCACATGTCTCGGTCTCGGGAACAAAACCCTTCAGGCCGGTATCGGTGATATGGGGTGCATAGACGTAGTTTGTTGTGTTTTTTGCTGGTGGCTACGTAGCTGTCGTATGCTGCAGTGAGTCGAGTCCCGCGTGGAAGTGCGACGTAACAATGTGGGAAGAACTCATTGGCTGATAGCTATGATCGTGATGATGGTTGTGTAACAGGTTCGAAACACGTTGATTGACCCATCATGGCTGCAAGGGCATCTTCCCCCAATCCCCGCATTGGTCCAGCAGCTGCGCGTGCAGCTCGTCGATCTTCTCAGCGGATGGATTGGGGTCCGGCGCATCGATCCGGATGGGCTTCCCGACCAAAGCCGCAACGGGCTTTGCATAAGGGATCAAAGGCCTCAACTGTCGGGCAACGTTGCAGGGTTGATAGCACCAAAAGGCTTCGTTGATCTCAGCTTGAGTTGATTCTCATCTTCATTAGTGTGCAGACTCGGTTGTCCGTCAAAAAAGCCCTTCGGAGCCCCCAACTCTAGCCCAAGGACCAGCACCTGTTCGAACACGCAAACGCGAACATGCAGAAACAACGTAACTGGCCAGGGTAAGTCTGACGAATCTGGCGGTCTGATTCCCCTGTGCCAAGAGGCATTCCCAGCCGTCCATAGCTCAATGGCAGCGAGACCCTGACATGCATCGAACCATTGCCACTGCCCGACTCTGTGTCAGGTTCGGCACGTTGGATTTGCAGCCGAGACTCTTGAGGCGTCTGCTCATTCGCATCATGAAGCCACCAAGTCCGGAGGACTTGTCCTTGAAATTGCTTGGTGCAGGTACTCTGCGAGTTTCGAGGCTCTCCAATGCTTTTAAAGGAAGGTACAAATTCGCTGCTTTAGCTCCTGCGCACTTGAGACACCCAAAAGAAGACACTGCAAATCTGACCAAGACAAAAAATGATGGATTTCCACATCGCATAGTAACGGCATAGAATCAGATGGCTCTGGTAGTCGAAGCAGTGTAGAGTGTGTCCAGCATTACCACAGTTTCCCGGATATCAGGCGCGCGAGTGGTTGGAGCATGAATGCTATGAGTAGCCTTGTCCTAGGTGCACCTAGACTAAAGCTGCACCCCAAACGCCTTAATCCCTCCAGCCCTCGTCCTACAATGCCGACCCCGACGCGCAAGGCTAGGTTCCTCCTTGATTACACATTGAGCTTGGGTTTTTGACGTCTACAGATGGCTAGATTCTACCGTCTAATGAGAGGTGCTAAAGGTTTGAGTAAAGCTATAGCCCAGTTGCCAGCATCGTGAAGAGCTGCGTGTGGCCCAATCCATAAACAGGAACGATGTCCACGCCAGCCTCGAGACAAGCACCACATGCAGTAAGCGGAGCAGAGTATCCAGCCCGCCTGGAGCGCGAGCCGGATGAAGCCTTTGCGGCTTTTGATGAAGACCTGCAGCAATTTTCGAGAGTCGTGAGTCGTGTCTTGGGCACAACGGCAACGAAGAACTTTGACGCCGTAGTGGCTCTTGTGCAGAGCCGAAGCATACAGGTGCGATGCAACCCAGCCTGTTCCAAGTCTGGTCGCATCCTCGGAGCGAAGGTGACTCTTCGTTCAACGCAACCGAAAACTGGACACAGATGGTCATGGAAGGGACCCATGCTCGTCGTATTCTCACACACACACACACCTGTCTGTCTGTCTGTCTGTCTGTATGTATGTATGTCTGTATGTATGTATGTATGTATGCCATGTATGTATGTATGTATGTATATGCATATGCATGTACTATGCACTGTGTATATCTACACACATATTGCGCTTGTATTAACACGGCTGAGAGTCAAAAAGATTTCCGCAATGCCGCCTGGCACGATGAAGGTGATATTGTTCGGGTACGGCCAGCCCAAAGCCTCGACTAGGAACTATCGAAACTGAGAGCAACGCAACCAGCAACTTAAAGGCCATGCATACTCGATCCCAGTGGCTCGCTTGATGGATTCAGGTGTGGCCGGAATCAGGCCGCCGAAACGCACCAGCTGTCCTCGGCTGACAGTTCAGCTGCAGCCTCCGCCTGTCCCTCATACACTGTTTTAGATCTTCTCCCTGACCAACGCGCCACTGCGGTTGCAAAGACCGTATCTTGAAAGACTTGCACATCGAACCTCAACCTCAAGGCACAATGCAGGCAGGCGAGAAAGACAGACTTGCCAAGAGTCTTAGCACAGGAATTTGAAACAGAATGTCTGCGCCGATGCTGTTGGGGATGAAGCCCTGCCTGACCAGGCAGCTTGAAGCTCACGGGAACAGCATTCGACAGCACGATAACGACGAGAACGACCAGGACACACACCCACACACACACACACACACAGACACACACTCTCTCTCGCTCTCTCACACACATTCACCTTCCGGTGAGACCCGAATTCCCTTTCAGAACGTCTGCCCAGGTAGCCCTGACTTTGAGCTCACGGAGTACGCAGTGACCTGCCTTTGCAGTGTAATTGAGAGCAAGGTGTTCGCAAAGGGGATAACACCGTGCCTGAGCGGTGCCCAAGCACTGCAGCGAATGAAGCCATTTCGCAGATGTTTTCGGACGAATGCACCGGCAACCGATCAACTACTCAGTTTCGGGTCGCCAGAATGAGTAACGATGAACCTTGATCGAAACCCAATTTCCCAGAAATGTACGCTGCACCTGAGCTTGCACAAACAGCGGCACACTTGCAACAGATTCTTTCTGTCTCAGCATCTCACAGCCAAGTTAGCCATACAACCATTAACCAACTCACGGTGCATTTGCGAAAGCCGTCAACCAGGCGCTACTGAGGCAGGCCAATTAGTGCACGATTCCCCGTGCAATGGCAACCAGTGCGACAAGGCCACGGCATCACCGCAAGCAGATACCTGCGATCCTTCTGCAGGGGCTCCTGGCAGCTGAGACGTTCTGAGACTGATCACCTGACCTAATATGTAGTATTATATTATATGTTATATATTCTATATTATATATTATATACTATATTATATATCCCTTAAGCCTTGGTCCAAATGTCCCCGGCCCCGGCTCCTCGAAGACCGCCTCTGACGAGACTCAAAAGGCTCACATTCAGAAGAGATCTCTGTTCGAAAAAACCCGAAATGTGCAGCCGCCTTGAAGGAGAAGTAGCGCAACAAACCTTACAACGGAGGCGGAAGGGCGCTTGGACATCTTGGGGAAAGACTAAAGATTGTAAACAAACCTTCAGGTTGGGACTGCGAGGGATTCGACGTGTTTACCAAACGGCTGCAGAGGTCATTACTTGTGATCGGCATCCCTGACGGAAGACGACGGAATGTAGATCTAGTTCAGCCTGACGAAACGGAATCTGCTCACCACCTGCGCGGCTCTGACAGATGTGTATGTATGTATGGATGTATGTAGGTATGTAGGTACGTAACATCAGACGGAAGTTACGTCATCAGAGCTGCAGAAGCAGCATTTGAACCAGGAGTAACTGGTGCTGCTGCTGCTGCTGCTGCTGCTGCCCTACGAACACGACTACGACCGCTCCGACAACGACTACAAATGCCACCGCCAATGCTTCTGCGACGACGACGCCGACAACAACAACAACAACAATCACCACTACTACTACTACGACGACGACGACGACGACGACGACCACGACCACGACCACGACCACGACCACGACCACCACGACGACGACGACTGCAGCACTACGAGTACTTCTGGACTACGGTACTACGATACTACAGATCGGTAATGTGCCATCATTGCTTCTCCCTATAATGCATTGTGTGCTCAGCCTTCCAGGACATCAACACGGGCCTGAGGGAACTCTGCGTCTATCTCGAGCAACATCAACTTCTACATAAGTTAAACCACGAAGGTGAAGCAACGGTGTCTCGCAAAAAACTTCGTGCTTACACGGCCTGAACATTCAGTCAACCGGGAATTGCAAAGCTTGAACTTTAGCAAGGGCCTTGAGTCTTTAGAACATCCAGCTATTTTCAACTCCAGGTCGGTATGAACAGTGACGAGCAGCGGTCGAACAGCCAGCGCTGAAAAAGCTCTGAGAAACGGGAGCCACCGCTGCGGTAAGGACGTTCTAAATGCATTGGCCAGGCCTGAGTACTTGCAAGTGAGAGGGGAAG